AACAACAAAAAAAAAAAAAAAAAAAAAAAAAAAAAAAAAGGGGGGGGGAATGAAAGCTTTTAGTTTGCTGAGAGAAAAAGTTTTGAAAGATTTTAGTTCACAGAGAGAAAAAAGTTTCCCACAGGCCTTGGCCCATTACAAGGAAGCTGGTCCCAACCCCGGGCGCATCCTATGGTTTAGACGGGGGCGATCGCCAGGACAACCCTCTTTGGGTCACACCTGGCTGGCCAACAGACAATCAAGGACTTCAGGGTACATTCTGTGGTTTTTCCTTCTTAGAAAAGCAGGTCACACCTGGGTGACCACTCTAACATGAGATCATACTTTGTAATCAATCACTTTGTGCCCCTTGCCTGTATGCTGATCTGCAGTTTTTTCCTATATAAGGAGCTTGCACCCCATGCTGGGGTGTGAGGCTTTCCTGATATTGTTGACACCCGAATGAGCATTTGTTCAATAAACCGTCTTGCTTTTGCAGCTCTTGGTCTGGTTTCTGAGTCTCGGGGGCTCCTTGGGACCCTGTGCCCCTTAGGGGTCTGGGGGTCTTTCACTAGCTCAGTAGACCTGGCCTTGAAGTCACAGAGATCTGCCTGTTTCTGCCTTCTGATTGCTGAGATTAAAGGTGTGTGCCATCACTGGGCCACATTTAAAAAATTTAAAGTTAATAAAGTATTGTGTAATCTATCTCTGGGGGTCATTATTACCCCTTTCTGTTTATTAAGCATATCTTTTAAAGTAAGATTAGTTCTTTCTATAACTGCTTGTCCTGTAGAATTGTGTAGTATTCCTGTAATATGCTTTAAATATGACAAAAGCTGTTCATTTTACTGGAGACATATGCCGGAGCATTGTCAGTCTTAATTTATGCAGGTATTCCCATAATGTACATAACTTTTAATAAATATGTAATTATAAAATCAGCCTTTTCAGGACTTAAAACAGTTGCCCATTGAAATCCTGAATATGTATCTATGGTATAGTGCACATATTTTAATTTTCCCAACTCCACAACATGGAACATACCCATCTGTTAAATTTAATTTCTTTGAGTACCTTTTGGGTTACTTCCTGTAGGTAATGGAGTTCAGTTATACAAAGAACAAGTAGGACACTTCCTTATAATTTCTTTGGCTTATTGCCAAGTAATAGAAAAATCTTTCTTCACCAGATGGTGGTGACACACACCTTTAATTACAGCACTTGGGAGGCAGATCTCTATGAGTTCAAAGCCAGCCAGGTCTACAAAGATATTTCCAGGACAGCTAGGGCTGTTACACAGAGAAACCCTGTCTCAAAGAACAAAACAAAACAAACAAAAACAACAAAGAAAAAAAAAAGAAAAATCTTTCTTCAAGTCTTTGCTATTAACATGGTGTTTCTGGTGAAATTCTGAGCCTTCTAGCACATTTCCTATCAATAGCTGATCAATTTCATCATTACCTTGTGCTACAGGGCCTGGTAGACCCATATGGGATCTGATATGTGTTATATATAAGTGATGATTTCATTATTTATTGTAATTGAATAAATAAAGTTAATTCTGAATCATCTGGAAGTTTAGCAATTTCAATTTGTAAAACAACTCTTCTTGCATATTGAGAGTCAGTAACTCTATCAAGAGGTTTCTAATAATACCATGAGAATAGTGTATAATTCTGACTTTTGGACAGAATCATAAGGGCTTTGAGCCACTTTACTTAAATTTCCTGACTTATAACCTGCCTTTCCTGATTTGTTTGCATCAGTATAGAGTATGGAGGCTATAGAAATTGTTGTTCCTTGTGCAATGTGAGGAAAGGTCCAACTAGTTCTTTTTATAAATTGAAGTCTCTTGGTTTTGGGATATTTGTTGCTAATCTCCCAAGAAATTATTGCAAGATCTTTGCCAATGTTAATTTTCTGCCCATAATGAGGCAATTTCAGCATTAGTAAAAGGTACTACAATTTCTGCTGGGTCTGTTCCTGTTAATTGATGAAGTCTTAATTTTCCTTTCAGAATCAATTCAGAAGCCCTTATGGTAGATCTACAAAGATCTACATAGATCTTTAATTTTTTACTGTTTGTGTGGTAAAAATACCCATTATAAGATACTACCTTATCTCTGCATAAGAATTCCCGTGGGAGAATGCATAGAAGGTAAAATAACCAGAACACAATCAAGTTCTGGATCCAAATGATCCACATGTCCATCCTGCAATTTCTTTTCTACCAAAGCCAATTCTCTTTTAGTGTAGCTGACAATTTTCTTGGACTATTTAAGTCCTTATCACTTTGTAAGGTTTGAAATGGATTACTTAGTTCTTGAGTTGTCAATCCAGTTGTGAGTGTTAGCCAGTTAATATCTCCCAGCAACTTTTGACAATCAGTAAGAGTTCATAATTAGTCTCTCCTGTTTTGCACTTCTGAAGTTGAATTTTTTGTAAACCTATCTTATATCCTACATAATTAATAGAATCTACTCTTTCCATTTGTTCAGGAGTAATTTGTAATCCAAAAAGGCAAAATTTTCTTCATCTCTTCAAATACTTTTTCTAAGATATCTGAGTCTGAATCAGCTGGTAAGATATCATCCATATAATGGTAAATTATAGATTGAGGAAACTGTTTACAAATTGTTTCCAATGACTGTCATACAAAATATTGACACAAGGTGGAGCTGTTTAACATCCCTTGTAGGAGAACTTTCCACTGATCTCTTTTCACAGGCTGGGAATTATATGCAGGCACTGTGAAGGCCAGTTTTATTCTACCCTGTTCTTGTAAAGATAGAGTTTTTTAAAAAGCAGTCTTTTAACTCTGTAATTATAACAGATCATTCTTTAGGTAATAGAGAAGGCAAGGGAATTCCAGGCTGTAGAGAGCTATCAGCTAGATTACTTTATTTATGGCTCTCAAATCTATTAATATTCTCCATTTTCCAGATTTCTTTTTAATAACAAACACAGGAGAATTCAAATGGTCAGTTCTTCAATATATGAGCATTTAGCTACTCTTGAATCAGCTGTTCTAATGCCTGTAATTTTTCTGATGTCAAAGGCCACCCAGACAGGTTTGTCAGTTAACCATTTTTTTGTTTGTTTGCTGTTGTTGTTTTTCGAGACAGGGTTTCTCTGCATAGTTTTGGAGTGTATCCTGACGCTCGCTCTGGAGACCATGCTGGCCTCGAACTCACAGAGATCCACCTGCCTCTGCCTCCCGAGTGCTGGAATTAAAGGCGTGTGCCACCAACACCCAGCTCAGTTAACCATTTTAAAGTAAGTCTGTTGGTAACTTTGAAAGATCATCAGTTGTTGTGCCCTGCCTATGTACAACCTGATTTGGTGACTGTTCTTGATAATGCCTTTTAATATTTTTCTCAGAAGCGTATGTTAGTTTATGGTTTGTTTCTGAGATTGGAGGAAGGTTAATCTGGGTTTTCCATTGCTGTAACCAATCACATCCCCATAAATTCATTGCTATGTTAGCCACATATGGCTTTACTTTTCCTCCCTGTCCTTCTGGCTCTATACACTTGACCCATCTTTCACTCTGTTTTATCTGAGATAAAGTTCCAATCCTTAGAAGCTGAATATTTACCTCCTGAGGAGGCTAGTCTGGATGCCAAGATTTTGGTGAAATTATTGTTATATCTGTGCCTGTATCTAGTAAATCTTCAATCACAATGACATTTATTTGTATTTTTAGCTTTAGTCTTTGATCATTTATAGAAGTTTGCCAAAATACTTGCTTTATGTTCTCTCCTGAAAATCTTGTTTTAATCTAATGAAGCTGTTCTCTCATCCAGAGTAGTAAGGTTTTAACAACATCCATTAAGTCTTTTAATTGCTCTGTGGAGGAGTTTTCCCAGTGTTGACAGGGAATGATTGAACCAAATTTGACTGTGGGTCTTTAAGAGGCCATATTGTCCCATATTGATCTGCATTTATTAGTTCAATTCTGGCCTTTGCCACACCTTCTGTGCTGGGGCCTTCTGTTTGGATTATCTCTAGAAAACAAAAACAAAACAAACAAACAAAAAACATCATTTCTAGGAATGCCTTGCCCACAATCCCTTTTCAGATGACCTGGTTTACCACAATTAAAGCATCTAACCTTTTGATTTTTCTTAAAATGTTTTAGAAATCACTTCTCCTATCCAAGTATCATTTTAAGTGTGAGATCTACTATCAGCTGTATTTCTGATCCATTCATCTATTGGTGCTTACCTTTCCTTTAAAGGCCTAATCATCCTTTTGCATTCCAAATT